ATTAAATTTAAATTTAAAGATTTTCTAATCCTTGGATCCTTCATCAACGAAAAGGGAGACTGCGACCAAGAAATCAGAAGGAAATTGAGAGTAGGAAGGGAAGCCATGAAGGAGCTAGGAAAGATAAAATCTAAGGATGTGTTGCTTGGTGACCAAGATCATGATAATTTATTCCATGTTACTACGTATGGGTGTGAAAGTTGGACAATGATGAAAGCTGACAGGAAGAAAGTTGATTCATTTGAAATGGGGTGTCGGAGGAGACTTTTATAGATACCGTGGACCGTGGACTGCCAAAAAAAGAAATAAGTGGGCTCCAGATCAAATCAAGCCCGAACCCTCCCTAGAAGGTAAAATTACTCAACTGAAGCTACCATACTTTGGTCACATTATGAGAAGAGTCACTGGAAAAGACAATAACGGCCCCTGCCACACGGGGGGGGGGGAGCACGGGCAAAATGCGGCTTTTGAAAGCCGCACCAAAAGAGACACGCGGCGGCGGGATCACATAGATCCCCTGATCCGCCGCGCATTCCTCCCCGGCACGATCAGATGCCGGGGGGCGGGGAGCCACTGAAGGAAGAGTGCAGCAGCCGAACCGCGCATGTGTGCGCATGCGCAGTTCGGCCGGGAGCCTGGATTGCTCTGGACGACGGGCGCGCCGGCCATCTCATGGCCGCGCTTGATGCGGCGTTCCTGGTAAGTCCTCCTCTGTAGGAGGTTCTTTTTTGCAGCGGGTTTTCCATCTTTAGGGACGGATCGGGGACGGGTGCACGCCGCTTCCCAGATGTTGCGGTGAGATCACGCCCGTTTGCTGCACCCCCAATCCGTCCCTCTCCCTGGCCAAAACCTTCCGTGTGACCAGGACCAACGTTAGAAAAACTTGAAGGCAGAAAGAAAAGAGGGGAAACCAACATGAGATGGGTTGACTCAGTCAAGGAAGCCAAGAGGGCCCTCAGTCTGCCAGACCTGAGCAGGACTGGTAACGGGAAGACGTTTTGGAGGTCATTAATTCATAGGGTCGCCATCAGTTGGAAGTGACTCGATGGCATTTGACACATGCACACACATCAGAAACTTTCCTGGATTTTACCGGAATCTCATGGTACATTTGGTTGCTTCCACCGTAAATATATTCCGTGTTCTGAGGAGCAATCTTTCCATAATCAGCTGGACACGGGGATCCCAACAGGCCTGGAGAAAAACATCCTGTCCATTTAATAGAGGCTTAATGTGTCGAAATGGGCAGCTGAAGCTTCTTTGCGGCATGGAAGGAAATAACACCAGCTGGTAAATAACATCCCATTAAGCCTTTGTCAAAGGGACAGGACGTTCTCTTTGCCCCGGGCATGTGGCAGCCATATCTGCAAGTGGCATCAGAACAAAGTCTGAGTCCGGGGGCACCTTTAAGACCAATGTTGTGTCTGCTGACCGCCACCGGAGGTCAGCGCACATACCTGAGCTTCAGTCCTGGAAGACAATGGGGACTAGGATTCTAGTCCCTCCACAGGGGAACCAATGGGAGCCTTGGCGGGAGATTCAAACCCACCAATGGTGACCATTGGCGTCCCCAGGTGTGTATATAGTTGGCCTGCCGGCCGTTTGTCCGCATGTCTTGTTGTGTGCCTAATAAAGCGTGCTATGCACTACGTCGTTGTCTGTCGTCCATCCATGCGGCAACCCACTACATAACAACCAACAAAGTTTTATTCGTGGTATAAGCATGCGGGTGCATGCACACTTCCTCCGATACAGTGGAACAGAACCCTCCTCAGCCATTACTTATGGGGTGGGGTGGGGGTTGTTGTCAGGAAGGGCCATTTAGAGTCAAGAGGCTGGGTGATTATAGCTGAGATGGGTGGGTGACATCCAGCGTTCCCTTCTAAGCTGAGTTAGCGTGAGCGCTCAGTTCGGCAGCAGAGGAAAAAGCAGGGGAAATTACCATCACTCTGACAGCATGACATCGCTTCCAGCGTGAACCCAGACGTGATGTCAAGGTGTCAGGGCAAAGCTCTAGGATTCCACGGAAACTCTAGTTTGTAGAGCATTACCTAGGGCTGCCAAGTCCCCCCGGGGGACGGATTTCCCCCTGCTTTGGAGGCCCGATTTCCACCCCCGCGGAATCGGGCCCCGGGGGTAACCCCACCCCCGCGTGCACGTCACAGGAAAGTGATGTCATGACGCCGGGCATGCTGGGGGCGGGGCCACAGCCATTTGAGTTTTCCCCTCAAATGGCTGTGGCCCCACCCCCAGCGTGCCCGGCGTCATGACGTCACTTCCCTGTGACGTGCATGCGGCGCGCGCACGCTCCGGGAGCCACCCCAGAGTCCCCTGCCGACGAGGTAAGTCCGATTTGGCAACCCTAGCATTACCCCAATGTGATATATCAGTTCTAGAGTCCACCCTCCAAAGCAGCCATCTGCTCCAGGAAATGGCTCTTTTTGTAGCAGGAGCTCCTTTGCATATTAGGCCACACACCCCTAATGTAGCCAATCCTCCAAGAGCTTACAGAGCTCTTCTTACAGGAGCTACTGTAAGCTCTTGGAGGATTGGCTACATTAGGGGTGTGTCACTTAATATGCAAATAAATACCTGCTATGTCACCTGAAGATCAGCTGCAATAGCAGAAGGTCTCCAGGTGCCACCTGGAGGCTAATGGTCGATCCCGCTCTGATGATAGTCGATACACACTTGAAAAACACACTTCCTGGTAGGTTTGGGAACTTCTGCCCTATCCGCTAATAATGATTGCCAGCTCCCCACTGCCTCCTCCTGCACCGTCACCAGCGGGTGAGATCGAGACCCATCATCAGCCCCACTAGCAGGGTCTGAGTGGAGTGGCCCCTGCAGTGCCGGCTAGTAGCACCACAGAGGCCACTTAGCCTGGCTTGCTCCGGAGTCGTTTTATTTTCCCAGCCACCCTCCCCCGAAATGGACATGGACTGGGAGGGAAAAAATGGTCTTGAGGAAAGGCCACGCCCCTTAGCCTGCCCCAGCCCCACCTACCCAAAGGATAGGCCAAGCGCAGCCTCCCCCTCACCATGCGAGGCACGCACAGGCTTGCCACCAACCTTGTGTCACTGGGCTGGTTCAGCCCAGATGGGGGAAAGCTATCGGCCCAGTGGGCATCTTGGCTGGTCTGCCCTTGCCTTCGTCCTTTTGGTACGGTTACCAGGTCCTCCTTGGTCACCAGCAGGAAATGGGGGTCTGAGGCTTGCCAGATCCAGCTTGGGAAACTCCTGGAGATTTGGGGGTGGAGCCTGGGGAGGAGAGGGACCTCAGTGGGGTAGAATGCTGTAGAGCCCACCCTCCAAAGCACCCCTTTTCTCCAGGGGAACTGATCTCCGTAATCTGGAGATGAGCTGTAATTCCGGCGATCCCCAGGTCCCACCTGGAGGCTGGCATCCTACCTTTTGGCCTAGCAATATTCAGTGCAGAATACAATTGCCAGGTCTTACCTGGCTGCTGGTGTGTGTGTGTGTCTTTATCCAGGTCTGGGAGTTCTGCGGCACATGCACTTTGTGCACATGCTGCAAATTACATCACCTGGAAGTGATGTCATCATGCAGGGCATGTTGTGGGCGGGGCCTCTATCATTCGAGGAAAAACCAAAGAGTTCTTCCTCGAATGATAGAGCGTCCTCCCGCAATGTACCCTGTGTGATAACATCCCCTCTGGGTGATGTCGTCATGCCGGGCACATTGGCCCAAATGTGGCACTTTGGGGGCGGGGTTCCCCCCAGTGGCTGGATCCGGGCCAGCAGATCGGGGGCCCTAAAAGTGGGCAAACTCTCCTCCCCCCGGGGAATGGCAGGCCTAGTGCAGGAACTGGCACAGTTCCCCGTCAGATTGAGATCTACCGATTTCTAGACGGGTGAGAGCCAGTTTGGTGTCGTGGTTAAGTGCGCGGAGTCTAATCTGGGAGAATCGGGTTCGATTCCCCGCTCCGCCACTTGCACCTGGCTGGATGACCTTGGGCAAGCCGTAGCTCTGATAAGAGCTGTAATGGAAAAAGAGCAGTTTCTGTCAGAGCTCTCTCAGCCCCACCCACCTCACAGGGTGTCTGTTGTGGGGAGGGGAAGGGAGAGGAATTTGTAAGCCGCTCTGAGACTCCTCTGGGTAGTGAAGGGCGGGGTATAAATCCAATCTCCTCCTCCTCCTCCTCCTCCTCCTCCTCCTCCTTCCCTCTGATGTTTCTGCTATGTCAGGAGTCTGGGACACAACAGCATTAACTACCAGTAGCCCAGCTAAGTGCGCTCTGCCAAGGGTGAGAGGCCAGACAGCAGGAAAATGGCCGGCACTCCCAATCAGACAAGCCAACCAGAGGAACCAGTTCCTGTTAGCACAGAGGCTCTCTCTGGCAAAGGAAGCGTGGAGCTGCAGCCTTGCGGCTGCTTTCAGTACTGAGAACTGGGGAAAGAACACTGCTCAGACATCTAACATGCAGGGCCTTACTACACCTTGCACACTGTCCTCATGTGCTCCCCCGGTCTGCCACAACGATTTTGGATCAGATGTGCCTACTGAGTTCCCCATGGTGAACTTAAATCCTAGGTGTGCAGGGGTCAGATTTATGTCATAGAATCATAGAGTTGGAAGGGACCTCCAGGGTCATCTAGTCCAACCCCCTGCACGATGCAGGAAATTCACAAATCCCTCCCCCTCCACAGCCGCAGTTCTTCCTAATGTTTAGCCGAAAACTCTTCTGATTTAATGAACGCAAAGTATGAGGAAGGGGGCATAATCCTTCCCTCCATGCCATCTTCCTCAAATGGCTCCGGAGAGCTGCTATTTGCCCTCCTGGAGAAACCAGCATCATTACAGATATGTTCCCCCACTTTTGGATGATATAACCTGCCGCCTATGGTGCACGGGGACAGACCTGGCACACAGCAGATGCTTGGGCTTCCTGACTATTTCATTCCTCCTCAAATCTGTTTCCGGGACAGCCATTGTGAGAGAAGCCCTCCACGATCTCAAGCCCCGAGCCCCGGGACTGACCTGCAGCTTATATTCTTTGCGGTTGAGGATGACGGCTGTGATCTGCTGGTCCATGAAGATGAGGATGATGACGAGAATGGCAGGGACCGAGGAGACCAGGTAGACCCACCAGGGGTTCGCTCCAAAGGGAAACACAACCCACCCTCGGGTGGGGTTTGTCGGCTGCAGAAGGAACGGGTATTGGGGAAAGGTTAGGAGAGCACAGAATGTAAGAACCTAAGAAAAACCCTGCTGGATCAGACCAGTGGTCCATCTAATCCAGCATTCTGTCTTACACAGCGGCCGACCGGTTCCTCTGCAGGGCCAACAACAAGGCACAGAGGCCGAGGCCTTCATAAGAACACCAGAAGAGCCCTGCTGGATCAGACCAGGGGTCCATCTAGTACAGCATCCTGTCTCACACAGCGGCCGACCAGTTCCTCTGGAGGGCCAACGACAGGGCATAGAGGCTGAGGTCTTCATAAGAACTTAATAACAGCCCTGCTGAATCAGTCCAGTGGTCCATCTAGTCCAGCATCCTGTCTAACAGAGAGGCAAACCAGGTCCTCTGGAGGTCCAACGACAGGGCATAGAGGCTGAGACCTTCTCCTGATGTTGCCTCCTGGCTTTGGGATTCAGAGGATTAGTGCATCTGAATGTGGAGGTTCCCCCATGGCTAGTAGCTATTGATAGACTTATCCTCCATGAATCTATCTAATCCCCTTTTCCTGTGGCCATCACGACGTCCTCTGGCAGTGAATTCCACATTTTAATCAGGACGGGTAGTGGGCTGGCAACAGAACTGAGCTACACCAATACCTCTTCATGAGGCCTCTGCTCAAAGCTCATTAAAGAAAGCCCTCTGCAACTTGACTCTTGGGTTGCCAATTTTGGGTTGGGGGGGGTACAGCCCGGGGAAGGCAGGGTTTGGGACAGGTAGTGGCCTCAGCAGGTATAATCCCACAGATTCTACTATGGGATTCCAGAGAGCCAGTTTGGTGTAGTGGTTAGGAGCGCAGACTCTAATCTCGGAGAACTGGGTTTGATTTCCCACTCCTCCACATGCAGCCGCTGGTGTGACCGTGGGTCAATTACAAGTTCTCTCACAAGGACAGTTACGGAAAACGCTGTCTCAGCCCCACCTACCTCACAGGGTGTCTGTTGTGGGGAGGGGAAGGAGATTGTAAACCGCTCTGAGGCTCCTTTGGGTAGTGAAGGGTGCGGTATAAATCCAATCTCTTCCTTTTCCTCTTCTTCTTATAAAGCAGCTGTTTTCTCTAAGTAGTCTGGAGATAAACTTTAACTCTGGCAGCCAATGTACCCTCTAAGCTGTGGAGTCCTGTGAGCAAAAATCCTACTTGGTGAGCTACCGGCATTAAAGTTGTGAGCGAGCGATTTGGCTGCTGCATAGATTAGCTTGCTCTGGAGCCATCCCTTCCCGAGCTAAGACAAAAATGTGTGAGCCAGAGGCTAGCTCACACTAACTCAGCTTAGAGGGAACAGTGCTGGCAACCTGAGTTGACTCCCATTTAACCAGCTGGCCAAGAGAAAAAAGGTTTCCCAACAGACTAAATGTGTGTGTGTGTGTGGGGGCATTGTTGCTGCCTTTTCAAAGCAACTTGTCGGCACTTTGTTCAGGTTTCATGACTGTAGCCGAAACGTGCACTCACTTGGTATAAATTCTCCCTACAAACGAGACACGGGGCACTGTTTTGCATCGCACAACCGGTTGAGCATGGGTATCTGGACCCAGGCAATCCATCCCTGCCTCCTGAACCCGGGCTGAGTCACAAGCTTCCTCCGATGCTCGGCTTCAGCTTCTCGAAAATGGGGCTAATTATATATCTCCGCCCAGGGATGCCGCTTGTGGGGAGTTTAATTAACGTGAGCTTTTCTGTGCGTTGTGTGTTTGTGCGCGCAAGCCGTGCATGGGAAATGCCGGGTGCTGAGTGCTGCAGGTCCAGGATATGAAGAGTCTCTCCCAGCCCCCAGTCTTCTTCTCCTCCTCCCCCCGCCCCCCCCCCCTCCCTTCAGCCCTGCCGTCTCACCGCCAGTGGGCAACAACAGGCTGTTCTTCTGCCTGTTCTGAGGAGAGGCCGGGAGCTCCTTCACCCCTCCCTTGGCAGGCAGAGCGGCAGGCTGCTTTCACCCCGCCCGCCAATCCTCCCACACCCAGTCCTGCTGCGTCAAGGGAACTCAAGCCGGAACGTGAGCCACTGGCTGGCTCCCACTTTGCCTCAACAGGGAGCCCATTTCATGGCCACCTTGGCTTTGGCACAGGGACTCTGCCTTGGAAATTCCCTGGGGTTCTGAGTGGGGTTCCTGAGGAGGGGAGAGTTGAGGCAGGGGAAGGAGTTCCATACGGGTACGGGTCCCGTCAGTCCCACCTTCCAAAGTTGCCAGTTTCTCCCAGGGAGCCGATCTCTATAGTCTGGAGATAAATTGTAATCCTGGGAGAATCCCATGTGGAGGCTGGCAACGCTAGAAAAGGGGGGAAAGGTCAGGGGTCATTTCCTGCAGGAGCACACAGGAGCAGAACTCCGGCAGTAAAGAGCCCAGGGGGCGGGCACATGTAACAAGCCCCGCCCCCTGCTCCCAGCAGCCCTCAGTCAGAGCAAGAAGCAGCCAGGTAAGTTGCAGAGCCTCCCCCCCTGCCCCCCGGTCCAAAACAATCAAGTGGCACCTTTAAGACCAAGTTTTATTCAGGTACAAGCTCTCCCTCCTCTGCCAGGACAGATCTGCACGTCCCCCCCCAATGTTCCCTCTAAGCTGTGGAATCTTGTGAGCAAAAATTCTACTTTGTGAGCTATTGGCATTAAAGTTCTGAGCGAGCGATTTGGCTACTGCATAAATTAGTTTGCTCTGGAGCCCTCCTTCCTGAGCTAAGGCAAAAATGTGTGAGCCGGAGTCTAAAATAATGTGAGCTAGCTCACACTAACTCAGCTTAGAGGGAACACTGCCCCCCCCCCAAAAGCTAGCAATCCAAAACAGTCCAGTGGAGCCTGAGCTGTGGGTGTTGCCTTCTGACACACTTCCGGTGATGCCAGGGGGTGTGACATATGCAAATGAGTTATGCTAATGAGCTATGCTAATGAGCTCCTGCGCCTCTTTTTCTACGAAATGACCCCTGGGCAGAATACTGTGGGAAAGGTAATTTAAAGACTGGAATTAAATTCTTGGTGGCAGCGATAGATACTTTGAGTGAGAGAAAGAAACAACAAGAAATTTAAAACCACATCACACCTAACCACACAAAATAAGAAAGCGGTACCGTCACAGTCAGGTTTGCTAATCCAGTCTGTGTTTAGTATTAAATGTTTCATAGATGTAAAAACACTTAGTACAATGCAATTTGTTCTTAATTCTATATGCTATAGTAAACTATGTATTCAAGAAGACATTTGGCTTTTATCGTGGTTCCACACCAGGGGTCCCCAGCCTTTTTGTGCCTGCTGGCACCTTTGACATTCTGGCACAGAGCGGTGGGCACAGCCACAAAACAGCTGCCACGCAATGGCAGCCACAGGAGGTGGGGCCAGCCACCCTAGCGGCTGCCCTAGTTACCTTCAGTCACACAGTGAAGCTGCTGCCAACCAATGTTTTTAAAAATCTGCACAGCCAAAAGCCCCACCTGGCCACCCATGCTCCCTCTAAGCCTGTGGAGTCTTGTGAGCAAAAATCCTGCTTTGTGAGCAACTGGCATGAAAGTGGTGAGCGAGGGATTTGGCTACTGCATAAAGTGGTTTGCTCTGGAGCCCTCCTTCCTGAGCTAAGACAAACAATGTGTGAGCCGGAGGCTTAAAAACTGTGAGCCAGCTCACACTAACTCAGCGTAGAGGGAACACTGGGCCCCACTCATTTTCTAAAAACAGTTGGTGGGCACCAGGAAAGGGGTCAGCGGGCGCCATGTTGGGGACCCCTGTTCTACACAATTGTGTTGTTGTTAAAAAAAGAGATAGTGGGGAAAGAGGTAGGAAGAAAAAGGCTACCAAAATCAGTGGCTACTTTCAGGGCATTGGGGAAGCGTCCAAGAAAAGCGATGCTGTTCCTGGTGCGTTTGGCACAGTGGAAAAGAGAGCGGAGGAGCAAGCTGAGGCTTCTTGGCCGGAATCCCTGCTGGCTCATGAAGACTCAAGTCGTCCCAAAGATGGACTTGTGTGTGAAAAGGACACCCGTGAACCCGGAAGTCAGGCTGAGCCCTTAAAATGTATTTATTTACTTCGTTTATACCCTACCTTTCTCCCCGATGAGAACCCAGGGTGGCATACATCTTTCCTCCTCCATTTTAACCTCACAACAACCACCCTGTGAGATAGGTTAGGCTGAGAGTGTGTGATTGGCCCAAGGTCACCCAGCAAGCTTCCATAGCGGAGTGGGGATTCGAACCTGGTTCTCCCAGTTCTTAGTCTGACGACCCAAGCCCTGTTCACAAGCTCTAGTGAATGCACATACCATCCTCCTACAGTGTATTCTTGACATTTCTTTATATGTGTGTTTAGTAATTCTTGTGTTACATTCAATGTATGTGCAGCGGAACATGTGATTTAAACCCCGTGTTTAACCAGATCCTGGTCCCTGGTTTCATTTGTAAAGTGAACACACTCTTGGCTCTTACAAACAGATGTACAGGCTGGATGTACATGCCAGGGGTTGTTTCATAGAAAAAGAGCTAGGGGAACTCATTAGCATAACTCATTAGCATATGCCACACCCCCTGACATCACCGGAAGTGTGTCATAAGGCCACACCTCCTGACATCACCGGAAGTGTGTCATAAGGCCACACAACCCGCCCCCAACGGACCTGGGCGCCGGCGCCGGCCTTGCAGCTCCACTGCCGAGCCCCATGAGGGGCCCGGCGGTGGACCTGCAAGGCCGGCGGGAGTGCAAGGAAGACCCGCGAAGGCCCTCCCTGGCCCCAGGCAGGCAGGGGTGG